AGATAAGAAGACACCAACTTATCAGTAATTTCGAGGAATATATAAGATCATCACTGTATGAAGATTTATTTAATAAGGAGTAGGGTTGTGGGTAACTGTGGAAACCCGAAATGAACTCACCACCATTCTCATCATAATTATTTATGCCTGCAGATCGATCAACTAATTAAAACCCAGAAGCATATTATCTAAAGGGAGTCTGCAAAATCTTATCAAGGATGTGAGTAATAATGGCCAGAAATATTCAAGGGAAGAAAAGTTTTTAGAAAAAAAAGATCAGAGGGCATGTTGACACCTAAAATTAATTCGGCCAGAATTAAATGCCGCATTAATAAGTCTCGGCATTTAAGTCGATACCGCGGTAAAAAACGGTGTCGTTGGGAGTCGAGCGGCACCGCGGGGAGTTAAAACGGTACCGCAAGGAAACTCAGCGGTACCGCGGTACTGGAAACGATACCGAAAATCAAAAGGGGGCCGCGCGTTTGGTATCGGTGTTAGAAAAGGAGTTTTATTATTATTATTATTATTATTATTATTCCTTGTGGGAAGGGGAGAAGCGGTACCGCATGGAGACAAGCGGCATCGCGGAGAGTTAAAACGATACCGCGAAATAAAAAACGGTACCGCAAGGAAGCTCAGCGGTACCGCGACACTGGAAACGACACTGTTTGCCGGAAAACAAGAGGTGGGCCGCGTGTGTAGCATTGGTGTTGGAAAAGGAGTATTTTATTTTATTTTATTTATTCCTTGTCGGAAGGGGAGAAGCGATACCGCGTGGAGTCGAGCGGTGTCGCGGAGAGTTAAAACGATACCGCGAAACAGAAAAACGGTACCGCAAGGAAGCTCAGCGGTACCGCGACACAGAAAACGACACCGCCGGAAAAGAAAAGGAGCCGCGCGTTTTAGTGTAGGTGTCGGGGAAGGAGTTTTTGTTTATAATTAATTAATATTTTTATTCCTTGTTGGAGGAGGAAAAACGGTACCGCGGAGAGTTAAAACGGTACCGCAAGGAGGCTCACCGGTACCGCAGCACTGGAAACGGCACCGCTTGCCGAAAATAAAAAACAAGGGCCGCGCGTGTGGTTTCTTGTTGGAGAAGGAGTGTTGTTTTTAATTAATTAATATTTTTATTCCTTGTTGGAGGAGGAAAATCGGTACCGCATGGAGAAAAACGGTACCGCGGAGAGTTAAAACGGTGCCGCGAGAGCCTGGCAAACGGTACCGACGGGCAAGTGACCAAAATTCACCCGGCCCAATGCGAGCGCCGACTGCGGTGTTTCCATGGATTAATATTTTTTGGCTATACCGGCGGTGTCGTTTAATTCAAAACGGTACCGCGAGTAAGCCCAACGGTACCGCGGACTAGCAAACGACAGTGTTTACAATAACAAACAATGTTGCAAAAAGGAAAAACAAACGGAGTTGTTATGGCGCTAGTGATGTCGTTGGCCATAGCTAGTGATGGACGGATTAATTAATTAATTAATATTTTAAAGGCTGTTTAGGACGGTGTCGTTTAGTTGAAAACGATGCCGCAAGAGGAAAGAAACGACACCGCGGATTTGAAAACGATGTCGCGGGTATAATCAAGCGGTGTTGTTTAGCTAAAAACGACACCGTTTAAGGCATCAACAACGCCGTAGTATTACTAAGCGATGTCGTTTTGTTAAATACCATACCACGATGGTTTGGATTTTGGCGAGTGGCCCGGCAAGCTCAACGACACCGCAAGACAAGGAAAACGGTACCGTTTGGTAGAGAACAATGTCGTGGAATGAAAACGACATTGTTTGATGGGACCGGGACGGAGCAGTTCAAGGTCGGCATCGATTAGTGAAAAACGATGCCGCGGAAAGATTAAACGATGCCGCAGGAGGTATCAACGACATCGCGGTATCATAAACGATATCGTTTGATTAAAAACGATATCGCAGTGGTTAAGAGCTCGGCCAAAAGTGACCCGCCAAGCCCAACGACGGCGCGAGACTAGAGAACGACGTTGTTTGATGGACTAACAATGTCGTTGGTTAAACCGGGTCGGGGCAGTTGAGTTGGATTATAAAACGGCATCGGTTGGTGAAAGGCGATGTCGTGGTATTGGTGAAACGTCATCGTTACATGGACAAGGTTGTAAGTCGTTTCGCCAAGTTTCTGCAAAGCAAGAGCGGTTTAGAGGGCACGTGATTGTCACGCAACAAGGAGGAAGTTACTTGCACAGTTGACAGGAATGAAGACGTGGGAGACAAAGGCGCCAAGGCAGTTACTACGACGGGGAGAAGCGCGAAGTATAAAGATTGGGAAGAGAGAGAAGCTCGGGACGGCAAAATCAAATCACAAACTGCACCGTCGCAGATTTTATCTTTTCTCTCTAGTTCGTAGAACCGCTCTGTCAAAGAACTCCTTTGCAGAGTCGTAGATCGTAGCTTGTAGTCGTAGTCGCGGAGCTCTCCAGAGGAACCTCCATAGGAGTAGAGGTAACGTAACTTAGAACACTCCTGGTTCGATTTTCTGTTTATTCGAACACCCTCGTTCGAACGTAGTTTGGAGAGGTGTTGAACCGAATAACAGTTGTGTGATTAGAAGTCAAAGGTGTATCGATCAAATCAACGACGCCGACACCGGCGGCGGCCATTTGACGATCGTCTTTATTTCTGTTTTAATCGATCAAATCAACGGCGCCGACACCGGCGGCGGATATTTGACGATTTTTTGCTGACGTGTGTTTTGTGTTTTACTTGAAAACTAGTGCACATTGAATACGCGAGTTTCGCCAACGAAACAGGGCATAACCCACCACCACCATATTTATGATGATATGGTTACCATATTAAAAAGAAAAAAAAACTTACCACACAAATGTATAGCTAATTAACTACTGTGGGGAAAGAGCAAATACAAAAGGGAAATGATATCATGGGTTGTCAATAATTTCTCTGCAGTTCATCAGTCAGGCAGTAAAAAGCTCAGAAGAAAAACACAAGGAAACGGATCTACATGATGAATATAATGAGATCTCGTTTTCAGGACTGCGTGGAACAACATATTAAACAAATAGATGAGATGAATGACTGTTAGGTAAATGCAATCTAACAGCGCAAGAGAGAAGGAGACCAAACCAACTGAATTAGCTAACTGATCATGATTCATGATGATCATACATTTGATCCATGAGATCGATTGCTTACAAGAAGATATATATCTGCACATATAGTCTCTCTCTCTCTCTCTCTCTCTCTCTCTCTCTCTCTCTCTGTAAGAAGGTGTTTGGTGGCCTCATAGTTGGTCTTTTTGACTACATATCTCCTCCTTTCATATTGGTTTTATAGTGAGAAAAACCCTTCTTTTCCGGAAGAAACAAGCATATGATAATTGATATTTTCCACCAAAAATGATCAATAAGGGGAATGGGTGCATGTGATCAATATAGCTCTAATAAGTAATAACTAATAACTAGCTGGCCCAAACTAATGAGATACTATTAGGGCTGTACATTTGGTTTTGGTTTTTTGGTTTTAACCAAAACCAAACCAATTGGAAAACTAATGGTTTCAGTTTTTTGGTTTTAAACCAATAAGCAACTTAATGGTTTTGGTTTGGTTAAAACCGAAAAACCAATAGAAATCATTAAGAAACCAATAAGAATAAAATTATTTATCAACAATTTTTTTGTTTTTGTTTCTTTTGACACGCATGCCAACCAATAATTTGTAATGGCCATTTACCATTATTATGACGTTTATTCAATAAAAAGGAGGGAAATAGGAATAAATATGAGTGTATGAGTACATGTTGGTTTTTTGGTTATACAAACCAAAACCAAAAACCAATAAGAACCTTAATGGTTTTGATTTTGGTTTTTGAGATTTGGTTTTTGGTTTTTCATACTTAATGGTTTGGTTAACCAAACCAAACCAAATTGACAGGCCTAGATACTATGGTACAAGATACATGTATATTGTCTAAGTTCCAATTATGACCAAACTACAATATAATTTTAGTAATGTGATAGTCAAAGGACAACAATCTTATCTCTAAGCAAGGTGAGAGAGATTGTTGAACAAGTCTATAGCTATCTATCATGCCGTGGAACCTAGAGATGATGTATTAGCAAGACCAAGTTGGTAGCTAGCTAGTCTAAGGGCTAATTATGTCAATGCATGTGACACTTTACATATTTGGAACAGAACAAATATTACGAAGTTTCTGCCATTGAAATGCAAAACCAGATACGAATATGCCACTTTCGTTCTCTTCAATTGGGTGAGAGAGATTTTGCCGTTGCATTTCTATCCGAACCCGAGCGAGAGACATGTGTAACGATGTAAAACCAAATACGAACAAAGAAGACGGTTCCAACATTGAAAAACAAAAGGATAAAATTGCATATTTGGAACAATGAAGTTACAAATTAGCGGACGACAATTTACATATTTGGAGCAGAACAACTATTACGAGGTTTATGCATTTGAAATGCAAAACCAAATACGAACAATATGCCACTTTCGTTCTCTTGAATTGGGCGAGAGATTTCCCCGTTGCATTTCTATCTGAACCCGAGCGAGAGACATGTATAACGATGCAAAACCAAATACGAACAAAGAAGACAATTCCAACATTGGAAAACAAAAGGATAAAATTAAAAAAATTGACCACTTAGAGGTTCCCTTATGTTACCAAAACAAATGAAACAAAAAAGATAAATGAAACAAGATATTTGGCATCTTTGAAATAAAAGGGAGATAAGAGGATGCAAAATATTTGGCATGTTGAAGGAATGTCACTAAAATTGTCACTAAAATCGACGTTATTTAGTCATCTTTTTATATAAGAATGTTGCCTTTGATGCTATTCTTGAATTTAACCTAGCTAGTTGAGCAATATATAACAATCAAATTGATGCTAAACTACGATTTTCTTCCATTGGCATGATTCCAAACCACCGACTCGCTTCTTGCCAAAACCATGGTAGGGTTGGTGAACAGTGCGTACGACTTCTGGTTCCCCCAAGCGGCGGCCAGGCAAGGCAAGAGCATCCGAGTGGTGGAGAAGCAGCGACATACCACTTTCCTCCAAACATCTTTGACCCACATAGTATACAGTCTGCAATCTGCATCCCACATCATTTATTGCATGTTACCGACTCTTGGCCTCACTACCCAAAAATGTCCAAAACAACATTATTAACTCAACGCATTCCCCCTGCTGCAAATGGAGGAAAATGGCTCGAATAGTCTGCTGAAAAAACCACAGATACATTTGGTAAGGATTAAGGAGAGCTTGTTGTTCTGGGGATCTCCTGTATATTTCGGATTAATAGAGTAGCTGCCACTGAAACATACAGACATGTACTTAAAACATCGTTGCAGGCGACGTGACCGGAGTCTCGTTAACCACGAAAATACATGCTACAAGTACAAGAAGAGGAGGTGTCTTTATGTCTGTTTTGATTTACCCCTTTCTCGCCTATTGGATCGAGGCAGCACAACGAACGGCGCAATTTTAGCTTCTCCAGCTATCCTTCATCTGCCTGATCTTCCCAAGAGCTTCAACAGGGGACTTGCACCCGACTTTTGACTGAAAAACCAAAGAGAAAATACCCAAGAGTCACAACATTGACAAAGGTAAAAGATATACACTTTGCGAAATGGGGAGGGAATAGTATATGACAAAGGTAGTTCAAGTAAACAAACTGCAATTAAATTAGTTTGCGACATTCGCCAGTGATTTTGTGCTGCGGATCTATCCGAAAGACGAAAGGTTAATTCAAATAGGACCTGGATTTCAGGAAGATCAGCGCGAACAAATGGGTTCGTCTCCAGCTCTTGCTCAATGGTTGAAGGGATGGTAGGAAGTCCTGCTTGCCTTTGCTGCTGTGCCCAAGATAACTTTTGCTTTATTTTTGCATTATCGGGCTCAACCGTTTGTGCAAACTGTAAATTCTTCACTGTGTACTGCAAGCAAGGACAGAACAAAATAGTTTTGTCATATTAGCCGACTCAAAAAACCAGTACCATTCAGAAAAGAGACAAGTTACTTTATAGCATGGCAACTTGAGGACATTGTTCAAGAGGTTCATACTTGCATGAGCTTTCTAAATGCGAAAATACGTGAAACCATTTTTGACCACCATATTAATTAACTAGTGAACAATAGCTAGACACAAAGGTTGTAGAATAGATAGAGTGTAATAAAAAAAATGACTTGGAACTTACCCACTTACACTTGGAAGAGTGTGAGAGTCACTAATAAATAGTAACCCCAATCTAGACTTTATATATTAATTAATAATAATTAATATATTAATATGCAAAAAAGATGTTTGAAAACTTCCTTGAGGATGGAGTTTACCTCTCGAATAGATCCCTTTAACAGCATAAAAAGGGAACTTATAGGAGCACAGTCCTTGAGTGGTACCAGCCAATTGTTTTACTTCTTTCTTCCTTATAGGTGGGTGAGGTTTTGAGGGGAAAGAATTAGCACTTGTGTAAACAGACTCACAGAACTAATTACCTATGTGAAAGGCATATACTAATATCTGGTCCCTGAGTTTGCATAATAAAACAAGGAACTGGAGTGAAGAAGGATTCCCCTCAATGAAACCAGCCTAGGCATCCTTACCTCCCAGCTAGATTGCCATCATTCATCAACTTCACTTATCAATAAAACTTGATAAAACTTACAGGTTTCATAGAGAGGCTTAGCCCTCTAGAGCCAATTAAATGTTCTCTGGTTCTAAAACATGCTCCAGACTATAACCGCAAGGAACTACCAAAGAGCTGAACATCAAGTTTGGTTGAGGGGTAAAGTGAAAAAAAAAAAAAAAAAAAGAGAGAAATCTTTACCTCATGGCCACAGTACACTTGAGTAGGCTTAGGCAATGAAGCCAATGTTACACACAGTGAATCGTGCATCTGCTCAGCTGTTCCCTCAAAAAACTTACCACAGCCAGCAATAAACTGCATATGGAACAGGCCATACGAAGTGAGCTAGTCATAGTAGTATTATGAAATGAATTTTCTGATGAGAAGGGGAAGGCCAGTTACACTCGCCATAATGCAATTGATTTTGTGTTTCAAGGAAAGCATATTAATGTTTTTTTTTTTTTTTTGAACAAAGGAAAGCATATTAATGGATGGTACTAGCAACATTCAACAAAGATGACATCAAATAGACACCCGTGCGACTTTTTTTCAGTTGACAATGTTGTGGTTCAAATAACAAGGTCCTCCCCCAAACTCACCAAGGTGTCCCCTGTGAAAACAGCTGAGTCCTCTCCCTCCTTGCCAGTGATATAGTAACTTATGTGGCCTTTAGTGTGGCTGAAAATACAAGTAAACAGAAACAATTAGAGTAGTTGAATTTAGTACAACAGCCATGAGAAACACAAGAGGATAGCTGGTCCAGTGAGAAATGATGAAACTGGACAGGAAGGGACACATTGATCCCACAATAAGATACAACACAATATTCAAATACAATATGAAGCACGAATCTGGTGAATTTCAGCAAAACCTGCGACCAGTTGATCGAAGCTTCCAACAGCAGAGCTTGTTGGAAAGGCAAGTGAAAATGCATAACATCTAATTCAGCAAGTAAACCATGGTATGGCAAAGTAATTCCAACACACCAGAACTACGTTTTCATTTGCATAGCTATCAAACTCGTAACAAGCACACACAACCAAAGTGAATTGGGAATAGTTACTAGCTAAGAAACTCGTACCAAGGGGTATGAAGAGTCAGTATACTGACATCGGCACCAAGGGATATCTTGTCACCATGATCAACTTTGTCAGTGCAAGCCTGCACCTTGTCAAGTGAACCTCCATAGACTTTGATCCCAGGGATCATCTCCCTCATCTTTGCATTCCCCCCTGCATGATCCCTACCACACACAAAAAAAACCCAGAATCACTCTCTTTCTTCACATATTCACACAAAGATTTACCCAATCAGATTTTCGGACAACTGATACAGAACCAGTGATGATGCGTGGTGAGAACAAGCTTGATCTGAACCCCATGCTCACCGGCAGCCTCCACGAGCTTCTCAGGCTCCACGGGATCCACAACTGCAGCTTCTCTCGTGGCTTCGTCGATGATCCTGATTTCATTGTTTTCAAATTTCAACAGTCAGGAGCACGAACAGCAGTAGGGGATTCGAAGAAGTACTACAAACCCTAACCCCAACTGTTGATCTAATTAAAAAGATCGCGGCAATGGAGTTCCCATCGCAACTCACATGTAGGCGTAGTTGTCTTCCAAGCAAGGATAATGGAAGATCTTCATCCTCCTCCGCCGTCAAAGGACACTCAGTGACTAATTGGTCTCGCGGCGACCTCTACCGCTTCTTTCAGCTCCGGTGGGTTCGCCTGAGGTTCTCCAGACGATACTGTTTGTAGACACGTAGCTATAAAATAAAAAAATAAAAAAAAAACTCGAGCAGTGGATGCGCAGCTGAAGAAAACGACAAACATGGACAGATGGCGTGTGCAGCTGTCGCCGGGTCAGCTTGGTAGCCACGTAGGAAATATAAAAAATATTGAAGTCTGTCAGAAAGCCACGTGACCATCCCAAGCCATCTGAACGGCTGAGAACGATACTCTACAGATCGGACGGTCAAGAAGGACCGTCGTCACCGTTAATCACGCTCTGATCACGCGACCACAATTCATCCACCAGATTTGGGATCCTGTCTCCTTAGTGCTAAAGGACACAGAGGTACGAGCCCATAGAACAGATCCTGTTCAAGTAAGGTCGTGCCCAGAGAGGCTGTACAGTGAAGCTATAAACACTTCCTTCTCGCTTCTTGTTGTCGATGTGGTATATTTGGTTCTGCATTTCGTAGGTTTTGGGCCGGGCCATTTACGTCCATATGGGTGGTTAAAATTCGTTGGGCCCGGCCTAGCACTATACCGGGCTTTTAAAACGACGCCTCTTTTCGCCGTTTCTCTGCTGATTGCCCATTTATTAGTTTCACAGCTCCTAGTTCTTTCTTTCGTTTTCCCCTCGGCAGAGACGAACGCCGGGGAAGTTTCAGAGCTACGTCTAGATCATGGATGGCAATATGAAGGCTTTTCAAGAAAGATTGATGGCTCTTGAAACTGAAGGAGAGCAGTTACTTCTATCTAGGCATCAGGTAAGTATTCAATCAGGATTCGTCGGAACATCTTTCTTTGTATGTGTTTTCTTGCTGCAGAAATGTTTCACTTGTATGATTTTATCTACCTGCAAAAACAATGTGGTGAACTGTAGGTGGTTGAAAATGACAGACTAAGGAATGGAATAAGGGAGGCACTTACGGCGCTAAGGAAGAGGGCTCGAACGACGAAAACGAGTCTGCCATCGCCTTTCGAGTCCATAATGAAGGACATTGTGCCAGGGCTGATGGTGAAGGAGGTCTGTACAATGTGTGGCGACCATGACTTGGAGGAGAGGACGTGGATGACGTTTCCAGGAGCTGATGTTTTTGTAAGGGTTCCGTTTCATGCTGCTCACACCATTCTGGAGACGGGTCAGTGATCTTTTTTGATGATTGCAGGGACTTGTTTTGGAGTTGCTGAGAAGAAGATTAGGTGCTGAATTGCTGATGAGTTCATCTTTGTCTGAATTTCGTTGTGATGCGCAGATCAGGAAAGACTCGACTACGAGGCCAAGAAGTTGCAGAGTTATGTGAAAGAGAAGTCGCTTTTGATTTCAGAGCAAGGTGCTCTGTCTGATAAGATAGGCCCCAATGTCCTTAGATCTCTTGTTACCTTAACAGACAAATCCAAGTGAGCTGGTTTTTCTTATGTTTTGGATCCTGTCAGAATCCAGTTTATTGTACTTACAGTTGGCTGGTTTCTTTGAATGGAATGTGCTCATCATTGACTTGAAAATAGGCTCTGCATAGTGTCTATTGGCATCCACACAAAGTAATCTTTCTTCCCAATTCCCATTACATTCATCTTTGGCAACCAGATTACAACTTCAGGTGAATCACTTCAAGCTCGGGAAGCACGACTCGTGTAACTTCGCATGAAATGGATGTACATGACTCTCCTAAGTCCTAACAACAACATCCATGACAACTGACAAGTTCTTCCAAGGACAAGGAAAAAAGTTCAGGCATATTACCACATAAATCTTACTACAGTTTTAAAACAATCACCACCATCAACCACTAATGTTGATTCGGACTAGGCCTACAATGCATACATAGGTTCTATCTCCCACTGGCATTCTCATCTATAGCCTCCTTCTCTCTCCAGATCGCATCAACATCATCAGTCCGGAACCTCTGGGTGAACGTGGATTCCTCTATCGGAGTCGTTCCCCCATGCGCAAAGGCAAGTAGACCAGTATAAGCAATCATAGCACCGTTATCGATGCAATACCTATCATCAGTTGCATACAGCGTCCCTCCCCGTTCACTGCACATCGTTCTCATCATCTCTTGCAACCGCTCGTTACAACCCACACCACCAACAATAAGAACGTCTTTCTTGTCGCAATGAGCCATTGCACGTTCTGTGATCTCCACTAGCATGGCAAACACCGTCTCCTGCATCAATAACAACAGCATGTGAAGCCACAGAAGCACACACAACAAACTCACGATATGCCTAACTGTTTTACCTGCAAAGAGTAGCACAAATCGGCTGGAGTGCATTCGTTGTTTTTAAGCTTCTCCTCGGTGGTAGATTCAATGTAGCTTAATATCCCACTAAAAGAAACATCCATTCCTTTGACAGCATAGGGAAGGTCTATAAATTTCTCTCCTTTCTTGGCGAGCTGGGGAAAGATCAAACAATGAGTCCAAAAGTAACAATTTGCAACATTCAGTCAATCAACGACAAAGTACAAAGCAGAGAGCACCAAGGAGGAGTTACCTGCTCAATGTTATATCCAGGGGCAGGATCATTGGAGAGCTGCAAAACCCTAGCAAATCGATCCAAACAATTTCCCACAGCAATATCAATCGTCTCACCAAAAATCCGATACTTCCCCTCACTGTATGCAATCACCTGCGTGTTCCCACCACTAACATAGAGCACAACCGGGTCGTGCGCCCCGGTCACAACTCGACCCATCTCGATGTGGGCGACACAGTGGTTAACCGCGACAATTGGTTTCTTCCAGAGCAGGGATAGAACCCGAACAACCACAGCCGGGACCTGCAGAGGGGCGCCCATTCCAGGACCCTTGGTATAGCAGAGACAGTCGATCTCGTCAGGGGTAACTTGGGCGGCCTCCAATGCGGATTGGACAAGGGGAATCACATGCTGGAGGTGGTGGTGCGCGGTTTCTCGAGGGAGGAAGCCATGTCCAGGAGGAGTGATGTAGGTGTGGCGAGGGTTCGAGAGGATCGTGCCATCTAGAGCGACGACCCCGACTCCAATCTTGTTAGCGGAACCCTCAAACCCTAGCGCTAACAGCTTCTTCATTCGCTTGCTTCTTTTACTGGAAAAATGCCTGGATTACAAATTTCACAAACCACAAGTTCACCACTACCACAAGCATGCATCTTACTGTTAAACTAGAATCACGCATCTAAATGTTCAATAGATTGCTAGAGAAACCAAATCAAGTAAACAACATTTAAAGATACAAATTGTTTTGCTTGATTATTTTCTGGAACTAGTGACAGTGTTCGAATCGTTTAATCAAGCAAAACAATGTTAGTACCCAATTCAAACATTGTTAAAAATTAAACCTTTCGCAGTCCCCCTTTCTCTATCCAGGAAATGAAGTTATTAATCATATCCCTAAACCCACCTTCACAGGAATTGAGCACAGGAGGAAGTGAAATTAGTACCTGACGAAGAAGAAGAAAGAGAGACCGGCTGCGGGAAGAGGAGGCAGGTTCGATTCCTCCGCGGCCGAGAGAGAAACCCTGGGGTACCGAGCACACTGCTGCTGCTCAAGGAAAAGGTAGGATTATCGTACGGCGGAGGGGCGGCTGCGACGGGAGGAGGATCTCCTTCTCGCTTCTCTTTCGCTGGCGGGCGGCGGCGGGAGCAGGGAAGTGCTGAAGCCAATTTTCTTCTTTTTGATTGGGGAACCAGTGGATTGGAATTAAATTTTAGTTTTCCTTTTTTTCGGTGCAAATTATTTTCTGTTTTTTTTCCTGGTTTCTCTGACAAACGACGTCGTTCGGTGGGGTTTCGGTTTCTTCCCCCGCGGCAAATTAGACCGGGCGGAGGTCCGGAGTCTCAGACCGGGGCGAAGAGGACAGGAACAAACAAATAGCCGCGGCGGTGAAGAAGAGAGGACTGCAGATCCGAGCCGGCTGTTTGCATTTTGATAGTTCTTAAGAGCAGCTGCCTTCTCCGTCCTCTGTCGTCCCTCGCCGGGCCTCCGGACGGGATCTCGCCGTCCTTGATCGGAATTCCCGAAGCGTAAAAAGTCCCCACTTCCACAATTTCTCCGATTCCGATCTTGATTCCGTTGTTGCGCTATCCCGTTTGATTCATCCTTGATGCTCTTCGAGTTTGTGTGATTTGTGAATCTAAAACCCAATGTCAAAACCCTCGCCTAACAGAATCGTCCAAGGTCTTCTCCGGCTCCACCACTCTCGCTCCTCCGCCACCGCCTGCTCACCTCGGGTTCCACTTCCGGCAGGCTCGCTTTCCCGACCACACTCCAGTCCTTCGCAATTCTCTACTTCCACTTCATATCCTCCTCCCCTCAAGTTCTCTCCATTCGCTTCGCAACCCGCGTCCTCAACGCTGCCAAAGCTCCCGAATCCTTCGACTTCTTTCCTTGCCAGGACTTACTGCTATGGGTTGCGTCACTACTCATTCAAGGCTCCGTCCAGTGTGGGGAAAAGGGTCGGCGGCGGAGAGTTCGCGAAACGGGCTTTTGAGAAGCCGGCAGAGGCTGTTACCTCTGTTCTGTCCAAGTACCGTCGAGCCTTAGGTCTGCACTTGGATGCTTTCTGGAAAAGGAATTCTCTCTTCCTGTTTGGGGTTGGAGCAGTCGTGTTGTGTGCTTTGCTATGGAGGATTATGTTTGGGGTTGCCAGCACTTTTGTTCATCTCTCTGAAGGCATGGCCAAGTATGGCTTCCTCGCCCTTTCCACTGCCATCGTTGCCTTTGCTGTGAGTCGTGCCTCCATTCTCCCATTATCTAATTTGAGTTTTCCAGCTATTTGAGTTCTGCTACGAGATTGTTGCAGCAAGCTACTTGTGATAAGTTTAATTATAGGTGATCTGTGTATATGTGGCCGAGTTGTTTAGTTTATGTGTGCTATGCTCTTTGTATTAAGTGTGTAGGGGAAAAGCAACTGCTCTTCTTGCTGTTCGTAGCAGTGAATATGTATTCATTTTACAGAGTATACTATTCAGAATTCATCGTGTAAAGTCCTGGTTACATCTTGTCATGGTCACATGCGATTGGAACTCAACTTGTAAGAACTGACAAATGATTTCAGACTGGGATATTAAATAGAGTTCGAATCCGGAATTTTGTTAGTTTAGAGAACAGGCTGTAGGTTTGAGATACAACTTCTCCTATCAATTTTTTGAACGAGTTGTGGAAGTTGTTATCTGCCCATTAGAAATGTTGTGTGCATGTTTGAGTGGCTGACATTTCATGGTACCACCAATCTATGCAACACAGATGATGCACTTTGCTTCAGCTGAAACCCGTTTCCACAGCCTAGCACATTTCAGATAGCCAAATTTATGTCTCGCCATATAGTTCTTTATTCAAACTATCACTCTCCTACTGCTTCTGTTTCAATGTCTTCTCTAGCAAGTTGGCAATTTTCTTACATCTAAAGTTCTTATGAATCTTATTTTAGTAGTGCAAGAAATGGAACTTGAATTTGTAGTGACAAGAACTGGAACTAATCATCATTCCGCAAAAGTAGTTTATTTTTGTATGAAAAATAATTTCTTCCAGGGATGTGGGAGTAACAGGGTCGCGGAAGCCTTTGTTATGTATAATCGCAGGGTGGGGGAAATTAAGCAGACATATTGAGTTTTTGAACGCTTAGGCTTATTTCGGCTGAAGCTTATTTCATTTTGAAAATTTTCAATGACAGATGAAGTTTGTACACCCTAAATTTTGGAAATTCTATTAAAATTAGACAATTAAACGGCTTTTAAGTAATTATGTTGACTGTTGAAGAAGCTTGTTTTTCAAGCAATCAATATCGTAGGTTTCTGCCTCATGTGGTGTTCTCATTTAAATCTTTCCGTTAGTATGCACGACTTTCAGATATAATTATCAGTATTAAGGGGAGAGTTTGAAGGAATACGGAGACTGGCAATTAAGTGGAAAGGGGTTAAAATGTTTGGACTATGAAAGAGCCAATGTTTGGTCAAGGGAAAGGTAGTTAATTAGGTTCATTATGGATGGAGGAAGAAACTGAAGGTCATGTCTAGGAAAATTGCAGAAGAGATGGATATTGATGAAATTGACAGGTACAATGAATATGAGCTCAGAAACTTCATGGATGTCTGAGAGCTTCCTGTTGAGTAATATGATATTAGCAGTTATGGATCCCTTATATGTGCCTTATTGATATCTTTGATGAGCAAAAGGAAAATGAAATACTACAAAATGCTCCAAAGTTGGAAGTTTATCAATCTCTGCCATGAGCCAACATAATGTGGTGATCTTCTGCTAGAGCTACTTACCCAGAAACATATTGTTGTCCTGCAAAGCCTCCTAAGAAACTATAAATGTGGTCTACAGGTATAAAGTTTGTGCTACTGGTTGTGTTTCAGGTTTTTTTGGATTGCAGTAATTGATGTCTCAGTTATATTGATGTCTTGTGCATTGCACATCTTTGTTCTTTCCTTGAAATGATCGTCTTATATATCTGAAATGTTCATCTCTTTCCGCCTCAAAATGAGTTGACATGCCATTTCTTGTTGCAGGGTCTATATGTTCGCTCAAGGCTTACAATTAACCCTGATAAGGTTTATAGAATGGCCATGACACGGCTAAATACGGATGCTGGGATTCTGGAAATCATGGGTGCTCCTCTTGCTGGAACTGACTTAAGAGCTTATGTGATGTCAGGGGGAGGGATTAGAATGAAGAATTTCAAGCCAACTCGTAGTAACAAACGTTGTTTTCTCATCTTCCCAGTACAAGGTTCGGAGAGAAAAGGTTTAGTCAGTGTTGAAGTTAAGAAGAAAAGGGGCCAGGTGTGCTTCTTTACTGTTTTCTTGTGTTGCCCCTCATATGGAGTAGAATCATTTAACTTTTAGGATCTTCTAGGTTTTGCATGTTTTACTGAACTCACTTCTAAAGTTGTGTTGAATGTCATTGAAGTTCTTTATGACTTGATCTCTGTCTTTAGAATAGTGAACTTAACCAAGGAAATCAATTTTGTTTAAGAGTAATCTGTCATGTATAGTTGTGTGAACACCTGAATAAAAGATCTCCTAACCCTGCACCACCTACTCCATAAGACAGTATTTTCCCATTTGATGAAGACATGAGCTTGATATGGATGGATTTGAATTGACTGGAACGTAAGAAAAGATATATTTGAAAATATTTCTATCTAGATGCGAGATTTCAAAAGTCGGACTTATCAAATCCATCCTGGTGAGATGTTCAAATGCTCCAAAGGTTTCATATCCATCCAATTCGTATGCTGCTTCGCTTAGCCCGACAATAGATTTTGTACAATCCCTTGCTAGAGAAATTGCGTTGCTCATGTTAACATTGCTCTGCATCTGTTTGACAATGGTAGTTAAAGAAGATAGAATATGGAATCCTTCTATACTTGACCACCGCCGAATTATGATTGGAAAAACATGGAATATTGCTCTTCTGCTAGTAAGACCTGAGTTTAGTGGTCTCAGAACATCCTCTGTTCCATAGTTCATGCATGCCCCTGAAAGTCATGGAATAACCCTTCTGCTTATTGAGCTTCTCTGTGTCTTTGCTGTGGCAGTATGATATGAGGTTGTTGGCAGTGGACATTCCAATGGCATCGGGTCCTGACCAGCGACTGTTTTTGATTGGAGACGATGAAGAATACAAAATTGGTGGTGGGATCATCGGCGAGCTACGAGATCCTGTGATCAGAGCTATGTCTGCTACTAAGGAATTCGATGATCTTGACCAAATCGAAGAACAGGAGGATGCCGAGAGAGAGCTTCAGGAGGCCGAGAGGAAGCGACAGGAAGAAATCGAGAAGCTCGAGAAAGATGGCTCATCATAGTACTGCTGGGTTCTCTTTTCTGATCTATTTTTCATGCACCACCACTTTTTTTCACTACTACCCACTTAGCCCGATGGTTCTAACAGCCACCCAGTGGAAGGTTTCTTCGATGTTGAGATGGCCCAACTGTTAATAAATGCGTTGATACAATCAAACTGCAGCAGTTTATAGTGTTACAGAAAGAAGAAAAAGGGGACCCTTCTAGAATTCTTCTTCTTTCCGTTCTTCCACGGCAACGAGATTTCCAGTTTTTAA